AGTACCGTAGTATTTGGACGCTCGTAGTATTTGGACGCGCCGTAGGCATGCTCTTTTGTTTTGCTCTTGTTTCCTTTTTGTTTGAATCTTGCTTTGCACGGCCGTAGGAAATAGTAGCCATGTTCTTTTGTTTTCTTTTTGTTTCGCCTTGTAGTTGTAACCTGACACACATAACACAGTCTTACTAATTTACTACATATTGCAAATTGTTTCAATCAAATGTTTCCATCAGTGACCGGGAAGTCCGCCATGTTTGTTTATTGCGACCGTGTCGAAGGGCAAGATGCGCAGATGACTACTGCGCATGCTGCGCATGCGCTGTGTGCGCCAGGGCTCGAATTAACCGACGGCACCGACGGCAATCGCCGGCGGTGCCCCTATCAATCGCCGTACTGCCCCTGAAAATCCAACCCGACTGACGGCAGTGACTTGCCTTGCCCTTTTCTGTAATTGCCGTCGGTGCCTCTGGCTAGACTCGTTCGCGGCCGCACTGTTTATCGCAGACCGTGTACATTGTCTAGCAGAGCGTGAGGCCGGATACCAGTCTACCCTTCGGTAAAAACAATAACGTGGTATTGCTGCCAACCGCTGCCAGTAGACAATCGATAAATCGTGCACCTGTGTATGCCCGTGGTAGAACACGAATATTTAAATGCTGCACGCCCGGACTCGGCCCGCGCGCGATTTAAAGCGCGGGAAACGAGTTCAAACGACGCTCGCGCAAGAATGGCCAGTGATCTGTACGGTGTGTAGCTTGCTAAGTGCAGTAAATTTAGAGAAATTTTAGTAGAATTTATACGATGACACAAGGTTTTCATAACAATGGCCTTGGTGCCCTTCTCAAATTGTGAGAGTTGCCTTGATGCCTTTTAAAATTGCCTCGGTGCCCATCCATTTTAGAGAAAATTCAAGGCAATTTCTCACATGCCTCCGAAAAATTGCCTTGCCCCTCTCGTCGCTTAATTCGAGGCCTGGTGTGCGCCCTTGCAAAACAAGAGGCGCATGCGCACTTGGGAGCATCCAGTTTCGGGCGAGCGTCCAAATACTACGGTACAGGCCTAAATTCTACGCACTTTACTAGTTTAGAACGCATACACATAAATCATTACATGATGAGGTTAGGGCTTAGTAAAATGTCAATTTAACAAGTAAACGTATGGGTACCAAGCCTTACCTATAATGTAGCATCCATAAACAGTGCTACTGTGCTACAACATGATACTGAAAATCAAATGGCATGCTTGGTTACCAATTGGCTTGCATAGTTCTACCCATGAAGTGTCTTTTCTCTGCCACAAAGCTAAGCAGCAATTTATGAAGGAACACGGGGGAATCCATATTGAGTGTCCTCTTACTAGTGCTGTGCGTGTATGTTCTTTAAAAAAGGCTGCGAATGTTCCTTGTGTGATCGTTCGTAAATGGTGCAATGAATTCGGCCAAATTATGGTGAGCTGACGTTGAATTTAAAGTGGCGGCCAAAAGCAAACACTGTTATTTGATCAGCTAGGGTTCTTTTTTGCATAGCGGGACTGCAATGTAGCCCGACATGTTGCTAATGTTCCCCACCGGATTTCATCATCCTTTATCATATAGCCATGTGGTGGAGTAAAGAAATACATGGGTAGAGCTCTTGTGCAAGTCCTTTTTCCATTATAAAGTGGGAGTGGGCGAGCACTGTTGGTTCTTGCCAAATGTTTTGCATAGTTCTGGTGAACTGCAATGGCCAATTGGACAGGGACCTTTTCAGGATAAATGTTTAATTTTACTTTGGAACTATGTACTAAATTGCTATCATTATCATCATCATCATCATCATCCTAGATCCATAACCCTTCTCTAACCATAACTAGAACCTTGCCTTATTGTTAAGCATAACCCTACTTCTATCCTCTAACATTATTGCAACTGTAACAATGATCTATGAGCCTAATCCTAACCCTTAAAATGATTATGTCGTGCAGTAAATAGTAAAAGTAAAAAAACATGTCTACTTTTTTACAAAATGTAAGTGAATCTGTTCGCTTTGATGGTTAAATTGCTGCATTATATCCCCTATTTTGCTATTCCATTTGATGTGAAGAAACTCTCGTGACTCATACATAGCCCAGCGCAAACATTTAATGTCGTGATCAATATATCAAATCACCCAGATTTCTTTTTATTTTCAACTAGTTGAAAAACAATGTCAACAGGTAAGAATTTGAGGATACATTTTGTGCTGTTAGTACTATACTTTTAATGTAAAAAAATATCTTCCGAATTTCTTCTCCTGCGTCATGGCAAAACATTGTCAAACTTTGGGGTCTAGAGCAAATGTTGTTTCCCCTTACAGCCATTTTTAGTGGTTTATTAGATTGCATGAACTGCAGTTAGCTTCAGGAAAATCGGAAAGTGAATTGTGATAAAAAACGTCTCAGTTATAAATTTGGATTACTTTTTACAAGTACAACGAGGTCTTGATAACTACTTGATAATATTAATTCATAAACACTGGGATTTTTCTGTTCTAATATTTTTATTTTTGAAAATTTAGCAACAAAGTAAAACCAATGCCAGCTCCCTTGAATTCAGTTCTTTATCAAAAGAAGTTTAATCACCCTAATTTCAATTTAAAATAGTTTTATACCAGTCTGACCTAATAATCCTGAACCAGCTTTTACTCTGACATTTGAGAAGAAGAAACGCATATTAACAAAATTGCAACGCTTATTTGTTTCAGCCGCCCTACGTACGATGCTGGGAAGATGGGCGTACAGTTTCTCAGGATTCAATCAGCTTGGTATGTTACAAAGTAACCACTCTTGGTGTCTAAATGTCCTAGGTACATTGTGATGATTTTTCTTCCTCCAGGTGGCAGCACATGACACATCACATCAGTTTATGAAGTTTGTATGTAAATTGTAAACAAATTGTTTGGTGGAGCATACAACCTAAAGCTGAAATCACATATAAATTATGTTTGCTGTTTGATAGCAAATATTAAAGCAACTGAAAGACAACTGCAGGCATGAAGTGTTATTGCTCATTATAAATAATACATGTTCTGCCAGGATATCAATTCCTAGGACTTGCCTTTCTTAACTGTATGAGAAAACATACAAACCCTAGTTCTTCTGAATTTCTATAATTGGTGGTCGGGGTGTGTGCAGCGATTGGATTCTTAATTGAAGAAAGACCGAGAAACCTTATCTTGCAACGATTTTCTTCTGTACGGTCGTTATTTCGGTTATTCTTCTTAATAGCTATTGATTCTAAATGTGCTCGTTTGCTAATTTGTGTAGGCTTAATGCATGACGACTGCCTGCGAGAAACAGATGAAGTGAAAGAAGCTGTCCGCAGGCTGCCGGATCACGTGTACGACGAACGCATGTTTCGCATCAGCCGGGCGTTGTATCTAAGTATGAAGAAAGACATTCTGCCGAAAGAAGAATGGACGACATATGACAACGTGAGTTCGAATTCAACATTTAGGTTTTTTTCTGAGTACCTATCTCGAATTGTGATGTACGAAATTATTTTCTTTAAATTTGCGTGCGCGTTACATGTGTCACTTGTTTTTAGTTGATCTGAAAACAAAATTTCTGTTGCAATAATATTTTAATTGAGTACGATATTATATTGTTTTATTTAAATGCACATGCATGATATGCAAATAACTCCTTAATTGCTGAAATAGAAATTTCTATAGTTGCAATTTCTGTTATGATATTATTTTAATTGAGCACGACGTGGGTTTCTTTAAATACACATGCATGTTACATGAATAACTCTTTAGTTTATGTGACATTTATACAACTACAATTAATTGTTAGCTAATCGAGATGTAATTATTTCTTTTGCACAGGATGTGAAGTACCTAAGGCCATACTTGGAAGGGGTGATACAAGAAAATTCCGAGAAATCCCTGTGGAACAGCAAGTAATGTTTCTTCAGTGTAATCACTGCATTTTTACATGTTAGCTAATTCCTTTACTAGAGTTTCAACTGGTTATGAGATAGACTCTTGCAAAACTACATGATAAAAACCTAGGAAGTTAAATCAGAATATTCCTTGAGTTGAATAGCCACAACTTGTACATTGCATTTCCAAGTCATTGTTAAAATGAAAAGACAGCATTAGTGCATAGGTCTGCTAGCGATTCAACAATTAATGTTACCGTGTGCTTTGTTAAATCTAGTGATGTATTATATTTAAATACAATGAACACAAGTTGTATTGGTTATGTTAGGTTATTGATGAGAAAATCTACATTTTGGAATTAAAAAAATGGATTTTCGTGAAACAAATATTTGTGTTATTTCTTGTTTTGTGCTGGCCATTAGTTTACCTACTGTCTGTCATCACCCTTCAAAGCATATCTTTATGACAACAATTTATCTAACAAGATTGTATTCGTTATTCTTTAACTACATTCCTATGCTTTACCCAAGTTATACACAATTGTAAGGACATATCCTGCACGTTAAAGTTAAAGAACTGTCGTGCAATATTGATGTATGCATACGTGTATTTGCAAGTCAAATTGTCAACAGACTATAAGATAAACTAACGCCCGAATAAGTGACATTTTGTGGTGGAAACGTTGTGCAACTGTGTGTGCAGCTTTTATCAAACGTATTAAATGTGCTTGCGTTGAAAGTATATCTTAAATTTAGACGGCACATGCCCCTAGTCGCCTGCTTTCGTGTAGCATAGCAGGAGTACCTGCGGTGGACAAGTGTATCTGGTTGAATAATAATTTTTGGTGAAATTACTCTTTTTTTAAAAGAGCGCACATACTACTTGCAGTAGATCGTCATAGGCACGAAATTCCAGATGCCTCATATTAATTCGATGGTGCCTCGACTGACGTAATGCGAATGAAATCTAAATGCGCCAATAGATGGCGATATGTGTCCTCCATGACATAATATGCCCATATATGTTCAACCTTTGTCGAACGAATTAAAACGTGAGCTGTTCAAATTATACTCATATTCCGTGCCGCAGCTAGCAGTGAAGTCAAGGATTTGTTGTTGTTGCTAGAAAGATACATCTTGGACTCGCAACGGTAGATCGAGTCGAACGACTGCTCTGAGTATCCACGCGCACCCTATCTGAGCTGACTTCTTGTCAAAACATCTTCAACTGTTTTCTTTCCGGATTATTTTTATCTAAAACATGGCAAGTGTGGCGTGCGTGTGCGTTGGTTTACGAGAGAATTTTCACGCGTCATTCCCGGTCGCAGATATTTTTATAGATCACGTGTTAACAGATTTCTCATACAACAGCTCATTTTGTATTGATTACTACTCTCTTAGTACTCTCTATTCGCCCAAATAGCTAAATATCTACCGTCAGGCGTTTTCCGTTTCGACAGTAAAATGTAATATAATGTTCGCATAACGACAATGTGACTGAGCGTCTGTGAAGTGCGTAGCATGCCGTTCTCATTAAACGTTTTAAAGTTATTTCTGTTTCAGAGTTTTTACCCTTCCCTATTTTTCCAATACATTTTTAATATGGAGGTAGTGTTTAATTAAACTCATTAACACAATGCAAAAACTATTCTATAAATAAAGCCTAATAATAACGGCTAACGTCAAATGCGTCTAGTATAACGTCTAAAAACGTATGATTGCTGTGTCGCAACTACGCTACACGATATTAGGCGCGGGTGTGTTGTTCACAACGCTATGTTCTCAGACAAGGAAAAAACACAACAAGCTGAAACAGCAATTACGAAGCCATGTTTTACCCTCGCTCGTTTCTTGCCTTTCTGCGTGAAGTAAGCCCAGGGTATTAATGTTAGACTGACGATGGGTAAGAAAGGTTAGGGCTTCTACTCGATGGATACAAGTAATACAGTAGCTAGTTACACCAGAGTAAGTTTGTGATCATGAGTGAGTGAGCGAGTGTGTGTGTGTGTGTGTGTGTGTGTGTGTGTGGTGTGTGTGTGTGTCGGGTGTGTGTGTGGGTGTGTGTGTGTGTGTGTGTGTTGTGTGTGTGTGTGTGTGTGCGTGTGTGTGTGTGGTGTGTGTGTGTGTGTGTGTGTGTGTGTGTGTGTGTGTGTGTGTGGTTGTGTGTGTGTGTGTGTGTGTGTGTGTGTGTGTGTGTGTGTTGTGTGGTGTGTGTGTGTGTGTGTTGTTGTGGTGTGTGTGTGTGTGTTGTGTGTGTGTGTGTGTGTGTGTGTGTGTGTGTGTGGGTGTGTGTGTGTGTGTGTGTGTGTGTGTGTGTGTGTGTGTGTGTGTGTGTGTGTGTGTGTGTGTGTGTGTGTGTGTGTGTGTGTGTGTGTGTGTGTGTGTGTGTCGTGTGTGTGTGTGTGTGTGTGTGTGAGTGTGTGTGTGTGTGTGTGTGTTGTGTGTGTGTGTGGTGTGGTGTGTTGTGTGTGTGTGTGTGTGTGTGTGTGTGTGTGTGTGTGTGGTGTTGTGTGTGTGTGTGTATGTGTGTGTGTGTGTGTGTGTGTGTGGTGTGTATGTATGTGTTGTGTGTGTGTTGTGTGTGTGTGTGTGTGTGTGTGTGCTGTGGTGTGTGTGTCGTCTGGTGTGTGTGTGAGTAAGTGAGTGAGATCAGTGTGTTTGTGTGTGTGTGTGTGTTGTATATGTTTGTGTGTGCGTGCGTGCGCGTACGTATGTGCATGTGTATATATGGCGGCGCGCATGTGTGCATGTCTGCATGTATGTGTGTGTGTATGGTGAGGGTGGGGTTAGGGTTATTGGTTGTGAGTGCTAAATCAGCTGCTGCGAGCCATGTGTGCGCGCGCGAAAGTGTGGGGGCGGAAGATGGATGCGCTTAATTTCTCAGCCGCGTGCGAGATGTGCGTCTGACGATTTCCACCCGCCGCCACGAGCTTGCCACGCGCTCTCGCGTGAAATACCGAAACCACATGTGCGTGCGCCCATAGCTGCCGGTAACACACACGCACACACATACACGCACACACGCACACACATACACACACACACACACACACACACACACACACACACACACACACACACACACACACACACACACAAGCAACACAAGCACACACCACAATACAAGCATACACACAAGCACACACATAAGCACAAGCACACACACAAGCACATACACAAGCACACACACACACAAGCACGCACACACGCACACACACACACACACACACACACACACACGCGCGCGCGCGCGCGCGCGCGTACACGCACACACGGCACTGCTCTCGTCCCCGATTCTCTGCTTATGTCGGACGGACTGCCGAACTCAACCCTTTGCCCTCGACACCGACACTATAAATATAATAAAATCCTCGCCGACTCTTCTATCTGTATAGTAGGCGTGCCGGCTAGAATCAGTGAGTGGTTAGCAAACCAGCACATGCAGGAAAAGCTGCACCCCTATATGGTGTGTATTCTGTTTTCATAATTCGATTCAAATTTATTCGATACGTGAATCGAATGATTCGATGCATCATTCGATGCGTGAAGTTGAATGATTCGAGTGCATCATTCGATTCACGGATCGAATCATTCGATTCACGCATCGAATTGCATTCGATACGGCATGCGAATCATTCGATTCACGCATCGAATGATTCGATTCACCGCATCGAATGATTCGATTAACGCATCGAATGATTCGATTGCATCATTCGATGCGTGAATCGAATAATTCGATGCGTGAATCGAATGATTCGATGCGTGAATCGAATGATGCTCGATTCATTCCGATTCACGCATCGATCATTCGATTCGCGAAGCATCGAATGATGCATCGAATCATTGTCGATGCGTGAATCGAATCATTCGATGCGTGAATCAAATGATTCGATGCGTGAATCGAATGATTCGATGCGTGAATCGAATGATGCATCGAATCATTCGATTCACGCATCGAATCATTTCGCATTCACGCATCGAATGATGCATCGAATGATTCGATTCAGCGCATCGAATGATTCGAATCCTGAAATTTATACCTTGCCACGTTTCCGAATCTAGCGCCATCTATCAACAACTTATACAATACACAAACTATATCAAAAAAATATAATGTTACAACTATTCTTAGTATATGAGTAGGGATGGATTGTAGAGGATGGCGCTGAGAAGACGGAGGAGGTGAGAGGAGAGTGGGAGAATGTGGAGGAAGTAGACTTTGTATTGTATAAGTTGTTGATAGATGGCGCTAGATTTCGGAACGTGGCAAGGTATAAATTTCAGGATCGAATCATTCGATGCGTGAATCGAATGATTCGATGCGTGAATCGAATGATTCGATGCATCATTCGATTCACGCATTGAATGATTTGCATTCAGCGCACATCGGAATCATTCGATTCACGCATCGAATCATTCGATTCACGCATCGAATCATTCGATCATGCATCGAATCATCGATTCACGCATCGAATCATTCGATGCATCATTCGATTCACGCTACGAACATTCGATTCATCACTGTCGATATTCGAATGCTCGAATCATTCGATGCATCATTCGATGCGTGAATCGATCATTCGATGCGCGAATCGAATGATTCGATGCATCATTCGATTCACGCATCGAATCATTCGATTCACCCGCATCGAATCATTCGATTCACGATCGAATCATTCGATTCTCTTTTCTGATATAAAATCAAATAATATGCGATAAATCGAATGTTATATGTGATAAATCGAATGTTATATTTGATAAATCGAATGATATATGTGATAAATCGAATGTTATATGTTGATAAATCGAATGTTATATGCGATAAAAATCAACCATAAAACAAAAATCGAATTATGACACAAACAACATGCCATACCCCTACAGCAACACGTATACAGCTACGTTGCCGCCGCAAACGTCCCTTTTCTGTAATACGCATGGGTAAAATATACAATTCAAACCTGCATACATACACAAAGTGAAAAAAAAGAAGGTCACTCGCAATGTAGACGTGGGGGAACGTTTGCAATAGGAGGAGAGGGGTGTATACCGTGCTACACCGACCGGCACTGTAAGGCACCTTACAAACCATCGGACCGCAATGCCGTGTAGCCTCGGAGCCACCCGCTCTCTCTAGAACTCCTCATGAATACAGATGCGGAATCTGTACTGATAAGAGCGCAGGGCGAAGACGGCGGCGAGGAGGGAGTTATGTGTTGGAGAGCCATATATACGCTTAAAGTTGTGTTGGTGTGAGGAAGCCACGCGAGCGCCAGGAGGAAGCCCGCCACCACGCCCGCCGCGGCTTAACCATGTTTACAGTAGATGTCGTTGGGCGAGCGCGTGGTAGATATACATATACACCTTGATATACACGGAAGCAGGCG